ACAACAGCCCCAGTGTGAGAGTAATTCCCCATCCACAGAGCTGGTCACTTCTGGAAGCTTTCTAAGTATAATGCTATTGCCACACATTGATATATTGGCCAAAGAAAGGCAAATACAACAATGCCAAAGCTTAAACTCATTTGAATAAACTGTGAATTTCTATTACATATATTGTTTCCTTTATCAAACTGAAACTACTGGAGCAAGAATACCAAGAATGCCAACATAAATCTAGATCTGTTACAGCCAGTTTCTCCAATTTATTCTCAGAAGCTCTAAAGACAAAAAGTTGAAGTTCTTCTGTTCTGGAGAGATTAGGAAAAGGAACAGTCTCAGTAACTTTTAACACATTAAAAGAAAAGAAATTTGGTTTAACAAAATGATGGAAGAAAATCACAAACTACTGCTCTATCTTCCAAAGGAAGCACATACGTTTTTTAACAAACATTAAAGATAAAAGGCAATGCAACCTGTATGCAGCCTACTTGGGAAAAAATTGTCATTATTCATTGCAGAGGACTTCACACATCATGCAGTCTTTTCCAGAATTTAAAACCAATTCCACAAAGACACATCCCAGCCTCTTCTGCTGTCTGTGTTCCACAGGTTCTGCTCCAGGATAATGGGTAGCAGACTATTCAGATCAGAAACTAATGGTGACTGACAACCTCTCTAACATATTAGGCACTAAGTGGTAAAAAGAGAAAAACAACTAATATTCCTATTTTGCACAACAGATGTTGACTAAAACCACACTGAAATCTAAAAGAAAGTGTTGTTTTTTTTTAAAGAAATCCTTACTTCAGCCTGTAATCAATTTGGACACAACCATATTCTATTTATAGTAACACTTTAACATGTTCTAGTCTTATATTATTTATTTGGATCATTCCTATTACAATGAAATATTAATGCTGAGAAAGTGGTTACTCTATTAAGGAGCTATCCTATGTTTAGATTTTAATATTGATCTACACTATTTGGGCACAATTAATCATTCCATATGAAACTGAGTTTGTGCGACTTTGTGTTAGAACACAATCAGAAGTTTAGTATCTTCCCCACAATAATGTCATGATTGAATTTATATTTTGACCTATTCCTAAAGGCAATTTAGTTATTCTAACAGAAGGGGGAAAAGGGGATACCGCCACTTTAAAAGCTTCAATCTCTTTGACATTGCTGGCAGTGTATGGGAACATTAATGCATCTGTCATGATAACAAGCTAAGAATAACATCTAGACATCAAACCGAGCAGAGAATCCATCTGAAGTGATTCATTCAGATCTGTCTCATTGATTTATTAAACACAGGGCAACATCTGCAGCCTCACAGAGCCGCTTGGCAAAATTAATGCAAGATCAATTCAAATGGAAAAAAGTGCAAAAGAGATAAATCAAAACACAATTTGCATGCAGCTCCACAATCAGGCTTATTGGGTGCAAATGCTCAATTTCCCTCCCAAAGCAAATGAGTTTAAATGTTGTTTTATCTTGGTAGAATTGTGTGATTTGAAGTGACAGTGAAGAGTTCTGCAGGTTGAAATGGTGAAAAGAAAAAGAGGAGAAGAAATGCATATTCAAAAGGTCTTTGCAAGCAACAAGAATATCATTAATACCTAATTGTTTAGCTTTTTTGTCTTTGCTACAAAAACACAGCATTTTTCAGTTGTGGAAGTCTCAGTAGAAAATTACATATGTATTATGCATATACACATGCAGGAAACATACAAATACTCCATTCTGGAGAAAAAGCATGTTACACTTCAAATGGAAAGCTCTACAGCTATGAAAAGAGAGGGGAATTTTAATCAAGGCTTCTCTAGAGTAGATACGCTTCTGTTGAAAACGTTTAAGCATTTTGGTACTTCCAAGCAAGCACAGACTTGCAGTGTGTCCAAAAAGAACCAGGGATTTTTTCCAGAAGCATCATCAATTCGCTCAGAAAGTGGAAAAATTCACTTCTGCACCTGTAACAAAACCCATGATGTTGGTGATAAGTCTTGAGAGAATGTTTTAAGTAAATCTCTCCTACAATGAAGAAAAGAGAGCAGAAATGAATCGTTTCTGATTTCAGTATGTCACCACTCCGAAAATCCACTAGTTTGGTTGAGTCTGAATGCACACTAAATATTTACTTAAGGAAAGAAGTTTATGTAATCAGATGTCCGCATTTAAAATCAATAGACACAGAAGCTCTGTGCAGTGCTACATGACGAGATCGCATTAATTATAATCCTGACATCGTTCTCCTATAAAAGACAGAGTACTGCTGACTCTAGCGGAGCTTTTAATAGACAACACAACCAGACTCATTTTCTCATAAAATACCTGTATTTGCTGCTTACATTAATTTTTAAGGGCTTTTATTATTTCTGAATAGACAAAGTAACACAAACTATTAGCTGAACTGGACACTGAATCATAAAAAAAAGTACTAGAATGCTTCCCAGAAAGCAGCATTTCATCTCACACACTGCTCTTCTTACAAAGCAACAGACCAGGACTGCCCTTTTTCTGTAGGAAACAGTCATTAAATATGAAAGCCCTGAAGAAAACATCATGGTTACACTCGTGTTATATTGATACTTATGGACTGATGTATTGACATCATAGAAGCGTCCTCGACGCAGTTGTAAATTTTGTGATAAAACCACAGTATAGTTTTCTGCTTTACATAAACCTTGTTCTTTGCTGCTAAAATTAAGCCCTTGCTCCTTCATTTCAGTGATCTTTGAAGATATTCCAAGCAAGTTACTGAATTTCATAATGATGCTGCATTCACCACATGCTTGAAGATACTACTTGCAGTGAAAGGAATGGTTTCATTTTACAAACCTTGCTCCCAAATTCGGTTACACGACACGCCTTAATGGCAATCAAAGATGAGCACGTTTTGGTTACACAGGTGAAATTAATATGCATACTTTTTTAAAAAGTACAAAAGGTCAAAGATATTTGTGTTCCAAGTACGTAAAACTCCTTCCATACATCCAACACACGAAAACTTATGGCTTAAACATACACTTCCCTCAGGCAAGCTCAAGTTAGAAAAAGGAACAGAATAGATTAAGCAGAATTCCTCTTCTTTCAATTATGTATTGTTTGCATTTCAACTAAAAGTTAACTAAAGTTCATAGTATTGTAAGAAGTGTTGATTTCTAGTAGTCAGCTAACATAGAAGACAACGACAACCAACGTTTCTCATTGCTTTTTCAGACAGTTTTAAAGTTCATGTCCTAGTGTTCAAACTACATATACATTTCTGTGAATTTAAAAAAGCAGATATTACAAAAGCAATGAAAAATATTCTCATTTATAAGCAATTCCTGAGTCATGCAGAAAAACAATACATATCTAAGAGTTTCTTTCCTAAAGGGTGACATTTTTGCAAGACTGGAGCTCCCACATCCAGAATCCAGCACTGCTCACACAGCTGCCTGCAGCCCTATCCCATGTGTCAGTTTGGTACCAGGCACTGCAGCGATGCCCCACTCAGCTCCCAGCAAATGAGAAATCAGATCACACGTATTCAGATATTGGCATCCAGCTTCTCTACCAAGAAATCTGTGCTGTTGAGGAAAAAGCTCTGTAAATAAAGTGACAAGCTAGGCATTCAATTAGCGTGACAGAACACCATTAACGTCGTTAAGTTACAATACTTGAGAAAAGTTTCCTACGCGCTGATAACATTTATCATGCACTGCATCTGAGACCGCGAGAGCAGCAACACCTTGCTATCCGTACGTCAAGCCAGCGGTGTTCTTTAGCGATATATAAGCAAAGGCTGAGAGATGTTTTAATAAGCGAGGAGTATTTCAGGCAACGAAGAGGATCAGCTGCTCCTGAGGAGGTAGAAACAGAGACAAGCCCGAAGCGGCCCTGGCCCCGCACGAGGCTGCACAGCCGCCGCGCATCCCACAGCCCCCAACCCCCTGCCCGGCGCCGCTCCGCCTTTCCCTACCGCCGCCACAGGTCGCGGCCAAAGGAAAGGCAAAGTCGCGAACCGACGCCTTTCGAGCATCCCGCACTTCAGCACTTCTTCATCCCCAACCACGGGCTGTAAGGGAGCAGACACCGGCACGCATCTAAGGGATCGCCAAACGGGACCCCGCGTTCTTTCAATGAAAACTTTGGCAGGGTCACTGAAACGAAACGGCGTGTTTCTTTAGCTGCCAACTTCCACGCCAGCCGAGTTTCGGAGCCGCCTCCGCACGGAGCGGCCCTGAGGAGCACCGCCCGCAGCGCCGTCCCGAGCAGCCGCCGGGGCCGCGCGGACAGCGAAGCCACAGGGGCCATAAGAGCCACAGGACGGCGGCCGTGATGTCAGCGCGGCGCTCGGTCCCCGCGGGCACTGCGCGCACGGCGGCAGGGGCAGCGCCGAGGGACCGGCTGCGAGCGTCTCCCGGGCTCGACAGAACTCGCAACAACAGACATCCCGGCGCGGCGGTCCGTCCTGCTTCGGCTCGCGGAGGGAAAAAAGCGGCTTGGGCCGCAAGCAGCGCGAACTTCACCCGGCGGCCGCAGTCCTCGGACACGGCGACGCGCGCTGAGAGCGCAGAAGCGAAGTTGCCGAAGAGATGCGCCCCGCGAGAGCGCCGAGAGCCGCGGAGCTCCGGGCACCTCCGGCACACGGAGCGCGGCCGCGGCGCACGGAGCAGCCGGCGCTCCCACGCGGCCCCGCCGGGCTGCGGTGCGCGGCGATGGCGGGGGCTCGGGAGCAACAGTTTGGGTCCGGGCCGCTCCGGACGCGGCGCGCCGCCGCCCCTCGGCCAGCGCCGCGAGCCGAAACTTTCAGCGCCGCGAGGAATAACGGAGGAAAGTCGGAACCGAAAGGAAGAGCCGGCAAAGCGGGCGCGGAAAGCGCCGGCCGCCCGTCCGCGGGAGAGAGAAGTCGGAAGGCGGCCGCGCCGCCCCCCGGGCCGCTCCGCCGCGCTCCCCCCGCCCGCCCCGCGCGGACCCCTCAGCCCTCGGGCGGAGCAGAGCCGCGCGGCGCTCACCTGGCGTTGGTGCAGTCGTTGTACAAAGTTTCGAAGTCCTTCCTGGTGATGAGCTTGCAGCGGTTGACGCCGGGCTGGATGGCGCCCAGCCCGCGCAGGATGCGGACCTGCTCCACCGTGCAGACCACGGGCGATATATCCAGCCGCTTCAGCTTGGTGTACACCGTGTGCAGCCCTCCCACCAGGTGCTTGAGGAAGAGGTCGAAGACCTGCGGCAGACAGATCAGCTCCTGCCCCTCCACGAGGAACGAGGCCACCTTCACCCCGTGCAGGTCGACCATCTTACACTCGTTGCCGCCGCCGCCGCTCGCGCCGGTCCCGCCGCCGCCCGCGGAGAGGAAACTGTTGACGAGGCTGTTGGTGAGGCGCGGGGACTCCGCGGGGCTGGAGTACAGCGGGTCCGCCCGGAACAAGCCGGCCGAGCCCCCCGCGCCGCCGCCGCTGGAAGTTGCGGCGATGACGGGCGGCGCGGAGACAGCCATGGCCAGCCCGGCTCCCGCAGCCCCGCGCACTCTCGCCGCGCTGTTTGCGGTACTACTAAAAACAGCGCCGCGCGCGCGCCCGCCCTCCCACACGCAGCGCCCGCCGCCAGCCGCGCTCCCAGACCCCTCCCCAGCGCCGCCGGGGGGAAGAGCGACGGCGCCCTCCAGCCAATGAGCCCCGCCCGCCTTCGGGCCGAGCGCCGCCATTGGCGGCCCGGCGGAGGGGCGGGGCGGGGCAGCGCCGGCCGCAGCACCTGGGCCGCGGGGTGTGAGGCGCGGGGCGGCGCTGCCGGGGGGAGGCGGGGCGGCGGCGGTGCGAGGGGAGCCCGGGGGTCGCGTCCCGCTGCGGGGCGTGCGGACGCTCCTTCGCTGTCCGCCGTAGCTCGGAAAGTCTCGCGAAGTCTCACGTGTAACTTACTGAAGTTCCGAGCATCCGGCGCGGCATCGTGGTTCAGCTGCAAGGACCGGGCTGCTCCTCGCGCCTGGGGCGGCACGTGCGGCGCTCCGCCTGCGCAGCCGCGGCCCGGAGCTGGGCGGGCCGCGCTGTGCGGGAGCGGTACGAGGAAAACCCACAGAGCTTCGTGTGTCCCTCAGGAGAGCTGAGTGAGCGAGTGAGTGCACACGAAGGATGGTCAGAAAAAATGCACGTGGAGCTGTTGAGTCTGACGCACCCAGGCACAGCCAACACAACTGACTGGGTTGTTAATTTCCTTTGCTTTTCTAACTCTAGCTTTATTGACTTCTTTTTCCAGCCCTGTCCTTTTCTCCCTTTGTATGAGCATCCTTACTTCCTGTTCATTTGCACATTTTTTTCACTCTTCTGTTACCTTCTTTCTTACTCTGCGAACTTCTCCAATTCTTTAATTTCTTTGGCTTCTCCTGCAGCACTCAGTAAGCAAAGCAAACAAAAGGGCACCAACAAAACATGTAGGTCACAAAATCATAGAATCACAGAATGGCCTGGGTTGAAAAGGACCATGATGCCCATGTAGTTTCAAACCCCTGGCACAGGCAGGGTCGCCAGCCACCAGACCAGGCTGCCCAGAGCCGCATCCAGCCTGGATGCCATGGGAGCATTTCTGCTGCTTCCCCGGTTGCACTGCTCATATGAGCCATCTTTCTGTTAAGCTTGCCTAGCTAGCCACTTTCTCTATACAATCGAACATTTTTGTTTTATGAGAAATCCCATTTGAGATGAGGAGAGATGACTGTATGGTAATTAAGTTGGTGTATTTGTTAATTCACGTCCCCCTGGAAGAACCCCACTTTCAGTTATGTCTTTTACAAAGAGTGGCCATCCCTTTTAGGCTGCTGACGAGGGCAGAATCATCACATAACCTGGCGTGAACTGAATATCTTTCAATGAGAATAATCATCTTTCTAGGATGAGAGCCTTATATTGGAAGCTCTGAGGCACGGGGGCTAAGTTAGCAAAAAGTTTTGTGCAGTTGAGCCCTGAACTCGTCTTGAGATTTTTATATGTTAGAATTGATACAATATTAAGTAACCAACTTTAAATATAGACTTTTGGGGTTAATTTACAGGACATAATTGCTATTGGGAGATTTAATAAATCAGATTGAAGAATTTCTCATTGGCTTTGCCCTCTTACAGATTTTTTTTTTTTTTACTTTGAGATTAATGTGACAATCAAATTCTACTGTGAGAATTCTTTTTCCTTTTTGACTTTAATGTCTTCCATAAGCTAAACATATTTCTAAGTAAGACTGAATTTTTGCAAGGCCAGAGGAAGCCTTGCGCATCAGCACCCCGCAAGTTGGACTGGCGTGAAGCAATATAAAATCATAAAGGCTGCAGTAAAAACAGTACCCTTGAGAGGTGACTATCCATGGAGAGCAGAACTGCTCTTAAACTAAGGAAATGCTCAAGGTTTGAGAATTAATACCAGGCAGCTGCCCAGTTCAGCCATGCATATAGAAATCAACACTATCGATGAATATTTTTATTTGCCTGTAATTTTATTACTGACAAGGCAAAGTTACCAAAGCCTTACAATCACACAGTAATATCTTGTCATTTATCAAGTATCCAGATGGTTTATTTGAATAGAGTCCAGCAGTATGCAATTTGAATGTAAGTTTCCCTATAGCTTAAACAAGCATTTTAGAAAATTTATTTGAAATTAAAGTTTCAATATTGTTAATTTTAGACTGGCATGCAAAATAGATTTTTTTTTTTTTTTAACACCGTCAGTCATTGAGATATTACTGTATTATATATTGGTGACATGTAAAAACTGGCCATGTACCTATGGCAAAATATCAAAGAAAGATTCTATTTGCTTGGTTTTGCTTTACTGATCACTTCGTATGCCTGGTTGGTGTGAAATGTGAAAGAGATCTTTTCTGATGCTACAGAATAGAGGAAAGCCCAGGTCATTTCACTTAGGGCCAGTCAACAGCTTTCCGTAACCTGCTTACAGACAGCTGGCATGAACGTGGCTGCTGGCTCACAGGGATCCTACAGCTAAAATGGGGGGTGACACAACTGACTAGAAGGGGACAATGATTAAAAAAAGACAGCTTGAAAAGTAAAATAATAAGGAATTAATAAATAATAATTTTGTTTCTACAAGACTGGAAAGATCAGTAGTGAAGTTTGTGTTGTATCTCAGTTTACTGTAGTTAAACACGAGGCAGGTTAATTAAAAAAAAGAGATTAATTCCAAAGAGTTTGTTATGTAAAGATATATGGAGAATTTCTTTCTTTTTTTTTTAGTGGGAATGATTTTTTTTTTTTTTTTGGTAGCCTTGGTACAGCATGTCCAGTGTGAGCGCATTATGGGAGAACACGTTCGTTTTTGTGGAGATCTTGGAACTCTTCCCTGTACTTAGAGGTTTCTGAGGGGTAAATGTGAACACAGATTTATGAGGGTCAGAGGCAACTGTGGGCTCTAAATGAAGAAGGAAAAAATAACTGAAAGATTTATTTACAATTCTCCCTAAGCATAATGAAATGAAACACCATTTTTCTGAATTCCAGCCTGACTGGAATCACAGTGACGACAGTGCTTCCCTAGTCCTTAGCAGAAAAGTTACTCAGGCTGATCCAAAGCACTCTCTGACTTAATGTCATGACCGTGTGAGCAACTGATACAGCTAATGCTGAGTACAGCCTTAAAAAGGAAGATAAAAGTTGGGCCTTTTTTTTTTGTTTGTTGTTTGTTTTTGAAGATTAGTGTTAATGCTTTGGTTTTCAAGGGAAAGTGTAACCAGGATCACGTTAACAAATGTAGACCACTGATGTGAGAAAATGAAGAGATTGAAAATCGTGTATCTTCTTATTACCCACCTTTTTCTAAATGCTCCAGCACTTGGTACTTGTGTTCAATTTACTTCAAAACTTTCTTGAAATGTCAGTTGTTAGAAGTGTGGATTAAAACTTCCCACCTAAACATCAAGGATCTTAAATAAAATGGATGAATCCAAGTGTCTAAGTATCAATAGAAGAATGATCCTTTCCCTTCTTTAATCAAATGTATTGTATTAATGTGTGCATAATGCAAAATCAATAAATAATGAATTACCACTGATTGTAATTGAATGTTTTCATAATTTTATTGTCAGCCATGATAAATAATCAGTACATTTATACTGCATTAAATTAATTAGTGTGTCATTTCTATTACATACATCAGCAGTGAAGTAATGCAGTGACATCTGTTTCTAATGTTTAAAAGATGTGATATTCCTTATTAAGTAAAAGGAAGAGTTATTAGAGGTATTTCCTGTGATTGGCAGTTATACTGGTAGACTGAAAGAGACTGAATAAAGGAACATGCACTTCTGGCAAATGCTGCATTTCAACCCTCTAATGGTAGACAGTAACAATGAGTGGGGTGAATTTTCTTTATTCAGGCTTTTAAAAAATCCTGCCCATCTTGTTATAGGAAGTAAGAGTGGGTTTTCTCTCCCTAATAAGATAAGATTCTAACATCCAGTAATTAATCACACATCTGGATTCATTTCTATATTTTTTTCTGCCTCATTCCTCTGTGTTTTGGCAGTTACTTTCTTATTTGGCCTTTTGGGTCTGCATCTTTGCTTGGAAATTGTACTAATTTGGCATATCTTGGCACCTTGCTACTCACACTGATGTACATTACCTGCAAAGGAAAGAGAAAACTGGATGGATGTTGCAAACATGAGAATTGAAAAATGAAAGATTGGAATATGAGAAATAGAGTAAATGGAAAGGTACATGTGGAAGATAGAGATGAATCACACTGTGTCAGGGTGTGATTCAGAGAAACTATCCTCAGTTGGTTAATCATCTGGAAGAAGGATGATGTGAAGTAAAATACACTGAGAAACAACTATAGACTACAATGTAAGCCTGGGATTCTTAATTAACTCTGTCTTTTCCAAAACACTTTATGGACATTCTCAATGTTTCTGTACCATTGCATCATCTTTGAAGAGAACAGTTAGAAAGCCTAATGTTAGGGCTTGTCTTGTCCTTTGTTCTTCATCCATAAACCCATTTCTAATTTTTCATACTATTAATGTACATAATAATATTTAAGGGTAATTAAAACAATTCAAAATTATTTTTTTCAGTGCAAGTCTGACAAACTGCTTTCAGCTGGAGCGTCTAATCAGAAATCACTGACTACCTTTTGATCTTACTAAGTAGGACCTCTTTACATGTTTGGGAGTTTAGAGCAACTGTGTGCATACAGCAATTTGTCCAGGAGTTGCTGTGTGTACAGTAAGCTCTAGTCTTGCTATGGTCTGCCTTTCTGGGCATGACTGATGTCAGGCTAGCTCACAGTGTTTATACGTTTAGAACTCAGAATGCTCCAACACAGTGTTCCAGCAGTGTGTGAGCCTGTAGGCTTGCTCAACAGTAGTTGTGTAGTTGATTGTCTGCTCTTGAGACAATCCTCAATAGACACAGTTTTCGAGGCAACTGCTCCAGGTCACAGAGTCTGCACTGAACTCAGCAGTTCAAGCTATACTTGACACATGAAAGATTTGACCGTTTACAGTAGGAACTTGAGAAAATCAAAGCACAAAGATACTTGCTCAAGCAAGGTCCTGTTTACTCTTTCTATTCATTAAAATGTCACCTTTTATATCTGAAGAG